CCACCTTAGGTGTATGTGGCTGGTGCCTTAGCCGCTTGAGCCACAGGCTCCGAGCCAGTGGTAGTAAATAAAGCATAGAATTTGTAGTTAGTTGGGGAGGGGTTTAAATTCTGGCTTTAGCAACAATCAGCTATGTTACCTTTAAGGTAAATTTTGAGCTTTAGCCCAGTTTCCTCATTGGCAAAATTAAAATAGTCTTTATCTACTTCTTCAAACAGACTGATCTATTATCTAACTTTGAGACTGTTATAAAAAATTAGAGATATTTATTTATTTTTATCTTATCCACAGTCATGGTAAATTAGAGATACGAAAATAAAGAAACTGACCAAGTATCTAGCATATAACAGGCACTCAATAAACATAGCCAATAGGATAAGCTCTAGACTTTACTGCAATATTAAGAATCTTAGTTAAAATTTCTGCAGACAGGGCACATGTGTGGAAGAAGTGAGCTGTACCTGAGGAATATGAGATTTCATGAAGTCTTTCATTTTGTTTAAGAAAGAGATGGGTCTTTCTATGCTGCCCAGACTAGAGTGCAGTGGATATTCACAGGTGTGATCTCACTAGTGATCAGCAGTACTGGAAATTTTGATCTGCTCTGTTTCCAATCTGAGCCAGTTCACTCCTCCTCAGGCAATCTGGTACCCCCACCACCACCCCCTGTCCAACTCCTGCCAGGTTACCATATGGATGCTGAACTTAGTGCCAAACACCTATCTGCAGATTAGAAGAGTATACTACTGCCCAGAACTCCTGGACTCAAGTGATCTTCCTGCCTCAGCTTCCTGAGTAGCTGGGACTACAAGTGCATATCACCACATCCAGTATCCATGAAGTCTTTTAATACTTTACAAGTAGAGAAATGCTCTAAAATCTAGAATCCAGAATCCTCTCTGAAATTTCCCAGGTTTGTTCACAAGCAGCACTGACTACCCTGCCCTTATGTACTTAGGACTGACTTGAAAATGTGCTCTTAATAGCCGGGCGTTGTGGCGGGCACCTGTAGTCCCAGCTACTTGGGAGGCTGAGGCA